AAGTGAACATGAACTATTTACCAAGACAGACCACACTATGGCCTATATAACATGTAAAGACAAATTTAAAAGGAATAAAGTCATAAAAAGAACATTCTCAGACCAAACGGAATTAAATTATAAACCAAAAATAGAAACATCTCTAGAAAAAATCCCAAAACTTTAGGAAACCAAATTGTAGACTTCTAAATAATCTATGGATCAAACAAAAAAAGAAAAATAAAATTAGAAAGTATTTTGAACTGAATGAAAATGAAGACAAAATACATAAAAATTTATGGAATGTTGCTAAAAGAGTACTTATAGAAATTCATAGCACAAATTCCTGTATTACAAAGAGATAGTTCTCAAATCAATAATCTTAGCTTCCACATTAATAAAATAGAAAAACTGGTAAAAACTAAGCCTAAAGAAAGCAGAAGGAAGGAAATAATAAAGATTAGAACATAAATCACTTAAATAGAAAGCAAAAAATATAGATAAAAATTGAAGACAAAAGCAGATCTGTAGCCAGAATGATTAGGAAAGAAAGAGAGGAGACACAAAGTAACAATATTAAGAATGAGAAAGAAAATATCACCACAGATTCTACAAATATAAAAGGTGAATAAGGGAATATTATGAACAACTTAATGCCAATAAATTCAACAACTTAAATGAAACGGACAAATTCCTTGGAAGATACAATCTACTAAAACTCAAGCAAAAAGAAACAGATAAACTAAATAGCCCTATATAAATTAAAGAAATTGAATTTATAGTTTAAAAACCTTCACAGAAAAGGAAAAAATAAAAATAAGCAGACCCAGAGGGCTTCACGAGTCAATTCTACCAATGTTTTAGAAGTATTACCAATTGAACACAAATCTCTCTAGAAACTTGAAGAGAGGGTAATCATGCAGAGGACAGCATTACCCTTCTGTGAAAATGAGACACCTACATTACAAGAAACAAAGACAGAAATGAAAAGTTATAAACAAAAACTTAGCCAATCATATGCAACAATATGAAAAATGATAACATATCATGACCAAGAGGAGTGAAGTTGATATAACATTTCAAACACATGAAAATCAATCAAAATAATTCACCATATCAAACTTAAAAGAAGGAAAAGTATTCATCTCAATAGATACAGAGAAAGCATTTGACAAAAGCCAACACACATTCTAACTCACAAATAGAAAGAAATTTCTCCAATCTGAAAAAGAAAATCTTTGAAAAACTACAGGTAACTTAATACTTAATGGTGTACGACTTTCCCCCTAAGTTTAGGAAAAGGCAAATATGTTTCCTCTTTCTACTTCTAACCAACAGTTCTAGCTAGGGCAATTAGGCTAGGGGAAAAAAAAAAAAAAAAAAACCTAGATTGGAAAGGAAAGGTAAAACTGTCTTTATTCATAGACAATATGATCCTGCAGGAGTTCTCTTGTGAAGTCACTTATTCTTTCTAAGGATGATATGATGGCAAATTTTTCCCACATTTACAGCTATTATGTCAGAACCTTAGTTCAGATATAAGCTTCATGGATTCACAAAATTGTTTCATGACTAAACCTAATCATGTGTTTAACTAAAAGTATTCAGAACTTAATCTGCAATAGGACAGGAATACCTGTGTATTTTGCATTCAAGAACTTGTTATTCTATGCTGCTATCAAGAAACACTCTAAATTATTCAGCTCAATAAGCTAAAATTATCTTGGTTGTTCTCAGTGTACATGTTATAAACAAAAATCAATAGACTAACGTCCAAATTAGTCCAAGTCAATTTAAGACAAATATTTGCTCTCTCAACACAGCAGAGAGCAAAACACATTTACTATTTAAGGTATATTACCAAAGAAGATTAACTAAAATTATGCTATATTCATATTGCAAATCAGTATTAAATTTTGCATTAGACTGAACATAAATTAGTGTTTCTTTGGACATAAATTCTAACATTCAAAACTTAAAGTATTTTGCGTAATCCATACAGCAGAGGTCCGGAGTTTGCAATTTCAGCATCAACCCAGCCTTCTTGCTGATCTACTACTGTTGCTGAACCTCCAGTTGCAGTAATGGAGCCCTTGACTCTGAACCCATTCTCCATCAAATCCAGAATTTAACCCATACCACAGGAATTATTTCCAGATCCTGTCTCCTCCAAAGTCTTGTCTTCTCCAGCTGAATGCTATATGTCAGACTGGGGTTTTAAATAGCTTTTCCAAGACCTCCTAACACTCTGGGTGCTGGAGCCACAGCTTGGGTATCCACTGCCAGTGCCCCAGTAATCATTAGGGCCCATTTCAGAAATGCCTTGGTCTGGCCTATCCAGATGAACTAGGGTTCTGACATAAAGCCTGTAAATGTTGGAAAAATTTGCTGTCACATCACCCTTATACAGAGTAAATAACTTCACAAAAGAACTCCTACCTCCTTGTTACACACAGAAGCAATTTGAAAACAGGAACAAAGTTTTCAAAAATATAATTTTACACTTTTTCATGTAAAATGAGTATATAATAGTTCTGATTATAAAAGACAAATGTACATATGTCTCATGCATAAAAAATTATACATAAGAACTTACTTTAAAAACTAAATTGATTTAGTGGGAATAATAAAATTCTTAAAAATAGGAAAATACTATCACTAATACCTTTAGAAAGAGAAATGTAAATAAACTCGCACGTTTTAACTTCAGGAAACTCAGTCAAATGATACGCCTCTTAAGACTAACTAAAATTAAGATCTTCAGATTTTCTAGTTGCCTCCCTAGTATTAATACAACACTAAATGGTGTTTTATCCAGATCAAAAGTAATAAAGAACAATTATTATCCGTGAATAACCTTTGATAATATAAGCATTAGGAATAAGAACTATTTAGAATTTTATTATGTCATCAGGATTATATCTCATTTTTTAAATGAAAATAAACTGTATCATTATAAATAGGTATCAGAGGGACTGGCCCTGTGGCCTAGTGGTTAAGCTCTGCACGCTCTGCTTCGGTAGCCAGTGTTCAGTTCCCAGGCCCACCTACACTGCTAGTCAGCAGCCATGCTGTGGCAACAACCCACATACAAAATAGAGGAAGATTCGAACAGATGTTAGCTCAGGGCAAAAGTTCCTCAAGCAAAACAAGAGGAAGATTGGCAACAGGTGTTAGCTCAGGGCAAATCTTCCTCAGCAAAAAAACAGATATCAGAAAGACTTGGGAGTAATTACGTAATTCTTTTTCTAACTAATCATTCTCCAAAAGATACAGACCTAGTGTAAGATACTTAACACAGCTGGATTACAATACAGTTGGATTAAGTCATCACTTGCTCTGGGTGAATTTAAATATGGATATTTATAATATAGAGCACTAATTTGAGAATGCTAACTAGGCATTAAGTAACGAACTTTATAAAATTAACTACTTTTGACAGATTGACTAGTAATGTTTACTGTACAAAACTATTTCTAAATTATTCTTGATGATTTAGCAAAGAATCCCTTATACAAAAGCTACATTTTGAAACAGGTTAAGACTTGGGAGTCCCCAAGTTAGAATATCAACTAGAAATGGGTAAGCTCCTTGAATGCCTAAGAAATACTGTTTGAATCTCAGTAACTTAAAGATAGCAAGTGCTCAGTAAATATTTCTTGACTATCTAAAGCAGTCTTTAAAATAACAAAAGAATAATAATTAGGTATATGAAGTTTGAAAATCTATGAAATAATCATACAATCTTGGAACTTACATCCAACAATATATGACTCCAATCTATGATCTTGCCACTATGCCATTCTTTTCTTTTCTTCACTTAAATAACTTAGATAATTGAACTACAGAATCATTTTAAAAGATATATTTACATTAATAAAGAGATCATAATCTCAAAACACTGGTTGGGGTACATGAAAAATAAGTAAAAATAAGAAAACTGTGAACATGAATTCATCTTCTCTTAAAAAGCAATAGAAACAGTGCGAGAAGCAGAAACATGAAGTAAATGTGGGAGGGGTAGGGACAAGGAGAAAGGCAGACAAAGTAAAAGTTGGAAGGAAGATAGGGAGGAGAAGGGGGAAAAGGAGGGAAAGAAGGAGAGGGACAGAGAGAAAGGAGAGGTAGGAAGCTGGGAGGAGCAGAAGCAGGGGGAGAAGGGAGGCAGAAAGGGAGGAAGGAAGAACTGCATGTCAATCAGTGTCTCTTCTAGTCTGTTGGGAATAACAGCAAAACACAGTGTTTTCATTGTGCAAGATACATCCAAATGCAGGAGCTATTTATTTCATTTAACTCAACAGAATAACAAGATGATTTACAAGTAAGAGACAAACAGAAAATACATTAACAAAAGAGAAAAGTAAATTTAAGATTCAAAAGAAAATAAACTTTCTAATAAAGTTAATATTTAGCCAGGCAGAAATTAAAAAAAAAAAGAACTCCAACTCTCCTAATTAAAAAATACCTAAATATGAAGACCATTTAGTCAAATCTAAAGACTATAACCATAAATCTGTTTAAAACATAAATAATGCTTCTCTTTCCATTTACTTCTAATGCTCTTATGAAAATTTTAGAACAATATAGACACATAAAATTAAGCTATGACAGCAAAATTAAGCTACAAAACAAACTTGTGATTTCAATGATGTTTAAATACCACAAGGTAAAAAAGGGATTAAAAAAGAGTTCTAAACAAATACAACCTCATTTTTCTTATTTAGTAGTTGGTAATTAAATTAGTAAATCTGATACTACAGAAAAAATTTTAAAACATGCCTTGCATTCTGTTGCAAGTGCCACATAATTCTACTTTGTATGAAGTATTCAAAACCACCCTGCATCATTTAAAAAAAAAAAGATTTATTACATAGTTTGACAATTAGTCTATTTTGGCTTACTGTGATATTTTTTAAATGTGAATTGGTCTAAGTAGAAACATTCCACTACTTACAAATATAACTTTCAAATTATAAGAATAAAAATCACTAAAATAAACATTTTTCATAATTTTGCCATACCTTTAGCTAAAGCTTCTTTATATTTCTCTTTGGCAGAATTCATTTCTTTTATCAACTGTCTATAGCTAGATTTTAATTTCTCTAATTCGGTCTTTGTAACCTGTCAAAAAAAGAAAGGAAAAAAAATTCAAATGATTAAACTTACATTTGTCAAGAACTTAAATTCCAAAGTATTAATTGACATGTACTCTACTGCTTATTGGTCAGAGTTGATCTTTAATATGCAATTATAGACAACAAATTAAAAGTTAGTTTAGAAATCAGTGATAAATTCAACAGTATATGAAAAAAATTCTTAAAAAGAAGAGCAAAATACGAAACAATTTATTAAAGACCAATGAATTAATGTGCTGTGTACAGAAATATTTTCTCTAATGAAAAAGCTAATTTAAATATTTATTTTAATTATACAGAGTAACTCTCACTTGTAGTAATTCATTAGTTCTACAATGAATTTTTTTTCAACGTTGTAACATCTCTGAAAAAAAGATGCATCTAACAATTACCGTTGGCCAGGCAGCAATCATGACAATGGTCACCACATGCATGCATGAACTTGGTTATTATTTCTACAGAAAGACTAGACAAATGCAAGCCCTTAACTCTGTAGTCAAAAGGCCATTTAAATAGCATTTGAGAAAAAAATAAGAGTCCTAGACGTCTGAGAAACTTCTAATATAACTTCTGAGAAAACTAAAAAATCAGCAGCATAAAAAACTTGCAAAAGGGACATAAGAAACTTGGAAGAAAAATCTCAGAGCCCAATTTTAACACACTGTATTACCAATCTTTTTGATGGCAAGAAGGACATTGTGTAAATAAACAAAAATAACAACTACAATATAGATTAAATGAAGAATCATTCTCTTTAAAAAAAAAACCTGTTACCTTTTTTTAAATGGACTTTATTTTTTAGAGCAGTTTTAGTTTCACAGCAATTACTTTAATATATATATGCCTATTCAGATTGTCTATTTATTCTTGTGTGAATTTTTGCAGATTGTGTCCTTCAGGGAATTAGGCCATTTCTCCTAGCTTATCAAATTTGTGGGCTTACAGTTGTTCATAGTATTCCTTCATTATGCTTTTAATATCTATGGGATATGTAGTGATATCTCCTCTTTCACTTCTGATACTAGTAATGTGTGCCCACACTGTTTTTTTTTGTTAGTTAGCCTGGATAGAGGTTTATTGATTTTATTGATCTTCTCAAAGAACCAGCTTTTGGTTTTGTTGACTTTTCTCTATTCATTTCCCATTTTCACCTTCACTGATTTCTACTCTAGTTTTTATTATTTCTTTTCTTCACCTTACTCTGCATTCAATTTGCTCTTCTTTGTCTAATGTCCTAAGATGGAAACTTAGATAGATGATTGATTTTAGATCTTCTTTTCTAACATATGGATTCAATGTCATAAATTTCCTTCTAAGCACTTCTTTTGCTGCATCCCTCAAATTTTGATAAATTTTGTTTTTATTTTAATTTAGTTCAAAATATTTTTTCATTTTTCTTGAGATTTCTTCTTTGATCCATGTATTATTTAGAAGTGTGTTCTTAATCTTCAAGTATTTGGGGATTTTCCAGCTATCTTTCTGTTACTGATTTCTAATTTAATTCCATTGTGATACAGAGCAGACATTGTAAGATATCTATTCTTTCAAATTTATTAAGGTATGATTTATGGTCTAGAATATCATCTATCTTGTTCAGTCTTCCATGTGAGCTTGAGAAGAATGCGTATTCTGCTGTTTTTGGATGAAGCAGTCTATAGATGTTCATTATATCTAGTTGATTGACAGTATTATTAAGTTGAACTATGTCCTCACTGATTTTTTGCCTGCTGGATCTGTCCATTTCTGACAGGGGAATACTGAAGTCTCCAACTAGAATAGAGGATTCATCTCTTGCTCTATGCAATTCTATCAGTTTTTGTAGTTCTATCAGTATTTTGATGCCGTGTTGTTAGGCATACACGTTAAGGACTGTTATGCCTTTTTGGAGAATTGACTCCTTTATCATTATGTAATTCCCCTCTTTATCACTGATAAAGTTCCTTGCTTTGAAATCTGCCCTGTCTGAAATTAATATAGCTATTCTTGTTTTCTTTTGGTTAATGCTAGCTTTCTCCACATATTTACTATTAATCTATACATCTTTATATTTAAAGTAGGTTTCTTGTAGACAGTATACAGTTGGATCTTGTTTTTTGATCCTCTAACAATCTCTCTTAGACCAACGACCTTCAAGGTAATTACTGATTTACTTGAATTAATATCTACCGTATTTCCTGCTGTTTCCTATTTGTTACCCTTGTTGTGTTATTCGTCTTTCACTTTTTTCCGGTCTTTTGTGGTTTTGAGTATTTTATATGATTCCATTCTCCCTCATTTCTTAGCATATCAGTTAGATTGCTTTTTTTTCCTTTTTTTATTGGTCACCCTAGAGTTTGCAATATACATTTATAACTATTCCAAGCCCACTTTCAAATAACACTCTACTACTTCACAGGTAGTGTGAGTACTTCACAGTAACAAAATAATCCTAATTCCTCCTTCTCATTCCTTGTATCATTGCTGTCATTCATTTCATTTAAATATAAGCATACATAAATATATATACACACACACACACACACACAAGATATATACATGAGTGTACATAATTGAATACATTGTTACTATTATTATTTTCAATAAATATTGTTATACCAATTATGAATGAGAAAAATAGGGGCCCGCCCTGTAGCTGAGAAGTTAAGTTCACGTGCTCCACTTCGGCAGCCCAGGATTTGCCAGTTCAGATACTGGGCACAGACCTACACACCACTCATCAAGCCATGTTGTGGAAGCATCCCACATAGAACTGGAATGACTTACAACCAGGACATACAACTATGTGCTGGGGCTTTGAGGAGAAAAAAAAGAAAACAAAAGAAGATTGGCAAGAGATGTTAGCTCAGGGCCAATCTTCCTCTCCAAAAAAAAGGATTAAAAAAATTGAGAAAAATAAAAGTTTTTATTTTATCTTTATTCATTCCTTCTCCAGTGCTCTTCCTTTCTTTACATAGATCCAAGTTTCTGACCTGTATCATTTTCCTTCTCAGTCTACTGGCAACAAATTCCCTCAATTTTTATTTGAGAAAGTCTTTATTTCTCCTTCACTTTTGAAGGAGAATTTCACAGGGTACACATGGTGTAGTTTTTTTCTAGGATTAACTAGATTCTAGGAAGGTGAGTTTTTTCTCTCAGTAATTTAAACATTTCATTCTACCCTCTTCTCCCTCACATGATTTCTGAGGAGAAGTCAGATGTAATTCTTATATTCATTCTTCCATAGGAAAGGTGTTTTTTAACTCTGGCTCTGTCAGAATTTTTTTCTTTGATTTTCTATAGTTTGATAAACCTAGGTGTAATTTTTTTGCTCATTTACTCCACTTGGTGTTCTCCGAGTTTCCTGGATCTGTCGTTTGGTGTCTGACATTAATTTGGGGAAATTCTCAGTCATTATCATTTCAATATTTCTTCTGTTCCTTTCTCTTTTTTCTTCTTCTGGTATTCTCATTTGTAGTAGTTCCATAGTTCTTGAATATGCTGTTCTTTTTTTTTCAGTCCTTGTTCTCTTTGCTTTTCAGTTTTGGAAATTCCTATTGATAATATCCTCAAGTTCAGAGATCCTTTCCTTAGTTGTGTCCAATTTCCTAATAAGCACATCAAAGGCATTCTTTACTTCTGTTTTTGATCTCTAGCTTTTCTTTTTGGTTCTTTCTTAGTATTTCCATCTTTTTGCTTATATTGCCCATGTGTTCTTACATGCTGTCTACTTTATCCCTTAGAGCCCTTAGCATATTATTCATAGTTGTTTTAAATTCCCAGTTTGATAACTACAACATCCCTGCCATGTATGGTTTTGCTGCTTGCTCTGTCTCTTCCAACTGTGTTTTTTGCCTTTTGGTATGCCTTGTCATTTTTTCTTGATTCCTAGGCATGATGTACTGGGTAAAAAAACTGATGTAAATAGATCTTTACTAACATGGTAATACACTGTAACGGAAGGGGAAGCATTTTATAATCCTACAATTAGGTCTCAGTATTTTACTGAGCCTGTGCTTCTGGACTGTGAACTTCACATGTGCTTCTCAGTCCCCACTCCCACTTACATGCAACAGGATGGCTAGAGTGGGCTGGAGTTGGGTATTTCCCTCCCTCCAGGTCAGTTAGGCTCTGGTGAAACAGTTTCTTCTCAAGGCAGACCTTGTTAAGAAGAACAGAATGTTCTGGCATGTGTCAAATGGTTCCTTTTCCCCTCTCCCTGCTGAGAGCATGAGATTTTTCTCTGATATTCACTGTGAGACCTTCGTAGAGATCTAGGGGGTAAAACTCACAAAAGTGTGGGGGGCCCCTCAATAACTGGGCCCTCCTGGAGTTTAAACTGTCAGAGTTGTCCACACTGAACCTTCAGAATTTGTCAGTTACAGTTCAGGTTTTCCTACGCCGGCACTGGCTCCCAAGGAGGTTGCTGCACTGACAAGTTGTGATTCTCTGTATTTGTTTGTCTATCTCTCCAATTTGGGGGATAGCTGTTTGCCCTGTGACCTCACTTTTCTTATGGATCTAAGAAGAGTTGTTAATTTTTCAATTTGGTCAGCTTTTTACTTGTTAGGATGGAGTTAGCAACATCCAAACTTCTTACATGCCAGACAAGAAACTGGAATCTTAACTTTTGAAGTTGCTAAGGAACCAATTCATTATTCTGCAAACTGGCAAATTAACTGCAAAATGCAAGCACTTAATCCTACCTTTCCTATATGAACTACACCTCAGGGTAACCAAATAGTTGATATAGAATTTTTTATTGCAAATTTCCAGCTAACAATTGCATTAGGAATTTAGAAGTAAAATATTGCCATTTTACAACCTCTTCTGAAATAATGGATCTAAGCAATGAACATCAATTATTTCTGAAACTACTGGTAAAAGGCTGAAGAGAAACTTTTTTAATAGAATGATCAGGCTGGCAATACTGGAACCCATTAGTCAAGTTTAACATCACAAAAAGATAAGCAGACATTATATACCTCTTGATATGAAACAATAGGAAGCCTATACCAGCACCTATGATGTATTCTTGCCCAAAATAAACAGCCAGAATCTTATCAAGCCTCTAGATCTAACCTCCAGTTTACAGGAAAATTGGAGGATGAAGGAATATGTGAACTTGTATCACAAGATGCTAACAGAAAAACTCAAAATGAAGAAAATTCAATTCTATAGTGCAAATTACCCAATTTTTCCCACAAATAAATGGCATTTTAAAAAGGAGGAGGAGGGGAACCTACAGATTAAAAAAGAATTATTCAGATGCAATGTGTGGGCCATGTTTGGATCATGATTCAAATAAATCAACTGTAAAAATAATTTAAACAACAATCCTTTGAGCACAGTCAAGATATTTAATAACGCTAAGGAAGTATTATTTTTTAAAGATTTTATTTTTTTTCCTTTTTCTCCCCAAAGCTCCCCAGTACATAGTTGTATATTCTTCGTTGTGGGTCCTTCTAGTTGTGGCATGTGGGATGCTGCCTCAGCGTAGTTTGATGAGCAGTGCCATGTCCGCACCCAGGATGCAAACTAACGAAACACTGGGCTGCCTGCAGCGGAGCGTGCGAACATAACCACTCGGCCACGGGGCCAGCACCAAGGAATTAGTGTTATTTTTAAGTGAGTTAATGATAATATAGCTTTGTTTTTTTAAAAACAGCATTTATTTTAGCAATACATATTAAATTATTTATGGATAAATGATATCTGGAATGTTCTTTACAATCATCCAGTGCAGAAGAAAAGGTGGGTGAGAGTATAGATGAAACAAAGACACTGACTCTGTGGGTGGATGGGTAAATTGGAGTTCACTCTACTATTCTCTCTTCTTTTGTACACATGCAAATTTTCAAAATAAAAATCACTGTAAAAAGTTATCCAGAAAAGACAGACTGAATGTGAAGAAAATTTAGAAATATCCTAATTGATTTTGCCTATATTTTCTTTTTTATTATATGCATAGTCTTATATGATAACAATTTTTTTAAAAACTAAAAGAGCTATTTCAGCAAGCAAAAATAAAAATTCTAAGTGATAAGAAAGTATTCTATCATAGTTTAATTTGCAGCATTTTTTTCTTTCATAGGAATATATAAAACATATCTTATAATCAATAATGTTACATATTCAATAAAAATAACATAATAGTTACTAGAGATACCAAAACCTATTTCTTCTCAGAAAATGATGACTAAACCATCTTTAAAAGTCAAATAGGATAAAATATTTCAGTGACTTTAAAAATCAAACTAAAGAAAGAATTCCAGAATGGAAAGACAAACCTTGATCATCTCTGCCTCTATCTGCTGATGAACACCTATATAACTTTTCTTCACCTGTTGCTTGTCTTTGATCATCATGGTTAGCCTGTGCAAGGGTCCAGAATTTAGGTCCTCTGCATGTGTCTTCATTATCCTACTAAGTTGTTCCGTCTGCTGAATCATAAGTAGCCAAGACTTTTTAAAAGATAAAGAAATAAAATTAGTAATTGTATTAGAGGTTTCCATTTAGCTATGCTTGAAGTGCTTAAGAAGTTTATTTAGTTTTACACAAATTATTACATTAACATAAAAATGGCAGGTTTTTAGCAATTGTATGATGAGCTATGAATGGTTCACATTTAACATCTTCAACTTCAAGTGCACATGCTTCAAAATTCAGTAATCAGAGACTATGCAGAATACTAAGAAAAGGATTAAGGGACTCATTGAGACTCCAAACTTACATTCTTCATTTTCTCATTCTTGTTTGTTTTCCAACACAGTGATATAGTGCTTCTGCCCACACCATTCTAATGCTCCAGTAAGGTCCTATTTCCTAATGGTCAAATGCAACAGAAATTTTTCTATCTTCATTCTTAACCTTTCTGTCTGTGAATCTGATCCTGCTGATTCACTTCTTCCTGAAACTCTTCTTTTTTGGCTTGCATGGCTTCTTATCCTCCAATATACTGCCTTGTCTTCCCTACCTTCCAAAAATTTCCTACCTGCTCTTCTTTTGCTGCTTATGTCTTACATACTGGTATTCTCTGGATTTCTATCTATTATCTTTCCTTAATAAATACCATTAGTTCTCAGTGGTTTTTCCAACACAACACATTGCCTCAATAGCAGAGACACATAATGGTGGGTTTGGGACAAATGGGCATACTGCTGGAAGAACAAGTCCTTTGTTACTAGACGTTCTAGCTAATAAATGTTGAAGAAAGTAACGGAGAAACGCTCTTCACTAGAAGTCTTCGAAATTCTATTTAGAAACAATTATTGCAGACTTACCATGGTCAGGGAGGATCCATGTTAAAGATACAAAAATAGACAAGGTATGGTTTCAGACATTTACAAGAATAGTTTTTCTATGCTATTACTTTTGATCTATGAATGAAGAGAATTATTCTGTCTGTTAATATTTCAGTATAATCCTAAAGTAAAATTTGATAAACAACTAAATCAAAATTATAGCCTAAAGGGAGCAAACTGTTGTAACTCCTCCATCAAAATATATAATTTAACAAAAACGAAAACAAGGAAAAACCATATAAACATGGATTTAAAAAATAAACTAAATAGTCTTAATAACTCTTGAAGCTCTGCCTTTATCATTTGATATTTTCACTCTAAAAAATACAACGTTGGGAAAATGTTCTACAGTATGTGCAGAATGTTAAGGCTACCAAAAAAGTGAGAGGAATCAGTGTTTCTTTCTCTATTCTCAAACAATAAATATTCTCTAAGTACTTGGTAGCAATAGATTTTTGTGATTCTGTGTAACAGTCATTGCAGCCTAGGGGAGAAGTCTTTTTGGAAGCCAACATTAAAGACCACAGAACTAGGTCTTCCTTCCAGGAGGGCACATCTCATCCGGCCTAACAGCCCTGTTCACTGCAGTCACTGTGGAAGTCCAAGCCTCTCAAGGTAAATGTTATCACCCCAACTGTCAATCCCATATTGCTCTCAATATCTCCTAATCTTACCCAAGACACTATAGGATTCTATAGAAACCTGTATTCTCAAGAACTCCTGCTCCATGATTAGAAAACTCCTTATACCTCTTACCAGAATTTTCTATTTATCTTGTAGCTTTAACAGAAACCTGGCTTTATCCCACTCCCAACCTCCCAATACTGCTAAGAAACATTCCCTCTTTCTCTAAAAGTCTCTGCTCCTTTGGAATTCAGGTCACCTTTCTCCATGAATAATCTATCAACAAGTCTTTCGGATTCTCTCTCCAAAGTCTACCACAAATCCGCCCATTTCTTTCCATCTCCACTGCCACCCCTTTTGGAGGTTATGATTATCTCAGGCTTAGACTATTACAACACCTTCTAATTGATGTTCTCTCTTCTACTCATGTGCCTTTCCAATCCACACCCCTTAAGGTAGAAAAGAAATTAATATCATTCCCCTGCATAAAACACTACATTGGTTTTCCTTTTCATCTAAAGAAAAATTCAAACATTTTTCTGAGACCTGTAATGTCTCCCATTAACTGTCCTCTGTGTATCCGTCTAATTTCATGTTTTGCCATTCTCTACCCAGCTAAATAAATTCTAGGACATTGTTCTTCCTCCAGTTTCCTGAACATTCCCTCTTCCTGGAAGCTCACCCTCTCCTTCACATAGCAAGATCCATCTCTTTCTTTCACAATCCTCATCTCATGTAGGTCTAACCCTTGTTATTCTCTCTTATTCTCTCTCTTAGCACTTAAAACAACTATTTGTCTGTATGTATACTTGGGTTTGTCTGTTTTTTTATGTCTCCCCAACTAGAATGGAAGCCTCGTGAGAGCAGTACCATGTCTCTTCATTCACTCTTCTAGATATTTACTGTGATGCCTGAGATAAGAGCTACTAAAAATTCTCTGAAAGAAGGAAGGAAGGGAGAGGGAGACAGGGAGGGAGGAAAGTAGGGACAAATGCAGAATAAAACCATGAATTGAATATACGCCATTAAAAGATTTTTTTAATTGTTTAAACCTGGAATTAGACAGATAGTAGCGATGCCAATTATGATGGGGAAGGAAAAATTAACAGGTCTATTTTCAATAGATAAAACAAGAGAGGAATCAGAGCAGCACATAATGTAATACAAAGCATGACCGAAAAGGAATGGATGAGTGGAAAAATGTTTTGGGTAGTGTCTAACTTGAATTAAATGAGTGGCTGGAATATTTATGATAAAGAGAGGAGAGTAAAATATTAACAGATGCTTGATAAACAAACAAAAGTAAAAACGCACTTCAACATTTGCAATAAAACTAGTACAGCACTTTGCAGATAAGGCTCTTTGGTTATGGAATAGCAATAACTAGAGCATAGATAAATTATTTGTTAATTAGGATAATCTGTGAAAGATAATTCTTTGTAACCTAATAAACAAAATACTGTAGGACATCTATAGACATTCAAATTGCTTTATTATACAGAATCCTGCTTAATAGTAATAATTTTCTTAATAATGTTCTTCATAATGGGATTTTACCGGCAGTCAGTCAGTAATGCTGAAAGGTACAGATAAGTTAACAAATATTAAAAAGTAAAAATATCTTATTTAATTTTAGAAAAATGTAATCACAGGCAAAGAACAATACAATTTGAAAATAAAACCACTGTGGTTCAGTTTGCAAAACAGAATATAAATATCATAACTATTGAAAGAAGAGCTACAAAATGTGAAAGTAGGAATCATTTAACTATAATAGAATCGACAAAAATCCCAAAAGAGACTAACAAAAATCAGGAGTGAGAGATTGATAAAAAACATAAGCATGTTCATTTCCTAACAATTCACACAGAAGAGTTAGTAGACAGCCTTAGTTTTAAAGTTTGTAAATAAAGAAATATAGATTTAAGTTTACAATTTTTAAGTTTTAAAAGTTAAACAAGTGGATGTTCAGAAAAAAGCAGACTATATAGATCTGAATTATTAAAAGTAATTTTTAAGGAAAGTTAACACTGTCCAATGAAAAAAAAGAAAGAAAAATCAAGAAACAAAAAATTGGTTAACAACTAAAATAAAATGAAATGAAATGAAAATTATACTAAACACATCTGTTCAACATTATATGAATGTTGATAAACATCTATGAAAAGGAAAGCATTATCAAATCAGGGGGGAAAAAATCTTCACTATATGCAATAAATAAGAAACATTAGTAAAATAAAATAATACATAACAACAACAACAACAACAGCAAAAAGACAAGCAGACTCCCTAGAAAAATGTTAACAAGACCCAGTAGTCATTATATTTAAATGACATAAAATTGAATTGTAGACACGAAATATAAAACAAAGAAGGGCACGTTATGATGCAAAAGAATATCTATCACAATGAATATGTAACTGTCATGAATCTTTTCATTCCAGAAAAGAGCGCATCAAAACACACAAAGCAAAAATGATGAAAAATCCAACAAGAAATCAAAAGTAGTGGGAGAATTAAATACACCCATCTCTGCCTATTACAGATAAACAAAAAAAGTAAATAATACAGAGTATCTGAATAAGTAACTTAACAATGAATATGTTTGATCTATCATTATACGTAAAACTCTATACACTATAGGTATGGAGAATACCTATTTTAAAAGAGTCTGTGGAATTTTTTTTTTCTGTAATGTATGCTTTTTACGGTTAGGAAGATTGGCCCTGAGCTAACATCTATTGCCAATCTTCCTCTTTTTTTTTTTCTCCCCAAAGCACCAGTACGTAGTTGTGTATCCTCATTGTAAGTGATTCTAGTTCTTCTATGTGGGATGCTGCCACAGCATGGCTTGATGAGTGGTGTGTAGGTCCACGCCCAGGATCCAAACCGGCAAACCCCAGGCTGCCAAAGCAGAGCACACAAACTTAACCACTCAGCCACGGAGCCCTGAATTTTTTTTTAATTGGATAATATTGGGCTACAAAAAAATTTCATAAAGTTCCTCAAAAACAGAAATAGTGTATGCTATACCCTCTAGTTAGACTCTTGCAATTAAAGGGAAAAATTATTAACAGAATTTTTTAAGGGGAAAAAAATCAAATCATTCCTAATAATGCATAGGCCCAAAGTAAAGTTTTTAAAACTAACAGAAGACCTAGAAAATAACAGCAAGTAAAATACTGCTATACTAAAAATACTAAATACTAAAATCTATGATATATAGCTTAATTTGCTTAAAGAAAGATTCACAAACTTTACATTTCCATTTCTAAGTAAGGAATCATAAAAATAAACTTATTAAACCTTCAATCTTATAAGTTAGAAAAGGAAGAACAATGTAAAACTAAGGAAAGCATAAAGAAGGAATTGAGGGGCCAGCCCCGTGGCCTAGTGGTTAAGTTCATGTACTCTGCTTCAGTGGCCCAGGGTTTCACTGGTTTGGATCCTGGGCACAGACATGGCATCAAGCCATGCTGAGGCGGCATCCTACATAGCACAACCAGAAGGACCTAAAACTAGAATATACAACTATG